AATCTGTTAGATATACTCTAAGAGCATCTTCAATACAAAGTTCTTATAAATAAAAAATGTAGCTTCTTATAGTAACTAACATTATAGATAATTTTTATAAGAACCTCACCCTATTTAAGTTATCATAAAAGAAGCTTGGTTCTTACCTTGAAGTTGGTGTAAAATGACAATTTGCTAGTTTTTCATATATTTTCTTGACTTTTATATCCAATATAATAATTAATATGTATATATTTATTCAACTTATATTATGCATGGAATTAACAAAACAAGTTATTAGAGCATCTCCAAAAGCTATGTTAAAATTAAGAACAGAGGAATTTTAGCAATTTTTTTGCTCCAACAACTATTGCCTTCTTGTATGTTAAAACAGAGAAAACACGAAAAATATTGTAAAATCTCTAAATAAAGAGAAAAATTATTATTTTAATATTTTCCATCAATAGAATATAATTTGTAAGTATTTATAAGTATTATGGTTTTTTATTTAATCTGTAACTATAAAGGTATAAAATATAAGTATTAAAAAATAATTCGTAAGTATTTATAATATATAATAATATAAGATTAAATTCAAAAACATTTAATATTGAGTTCATTTTAGACGTATTAACGAGACGATTACAATAACGTAGTTTAAAAAAAAAACATATTTTTTATGTATTTTAATTAATATACGATAATGTGTTTTAATATAATATATATGTTAAAGATATAATTGAAAAAAAATGACAAAACACTTCTCATAAACTACTCCAAGTAGAATTTCAATAAGCTAGCTTATATCTATCCAAACGTGTATCTAAAAAAAAAGCTAACTTATAAATCAGCTCATAAATTCGTTTATATTTATCAAATAATATCTAAAATAATTAAAAAATAAAATAATTATAATAAATTAGTTATTCGTGTTATAAAAACCTTGGTCATAGATGCTGTATATGAAAACGTATTGATGAAGTGTCATAAATGGATATGCTGAAACATAGGTGAAATTGAATACGATAAGCAAGGCACTTTGTTCTAGGTTATTTATAACTAGGGGACGTTTACCAAACGTTTATCCGGATAAAAGCTTATCAAGTCACTTTACTTTACCGGATGAATATGATAAGAACCAAAAATTTTACCTGATAAGAGCGAGACAAGGAACAAGAGTTTTACCCGGTAAGTGAAGACGACTACTCTTACCACGGTAAGAGCTTATCGGGTAGATTATTGCATACGGTGTTGTTTTCGTGGAGTAATATCTTACCCGGTAAGTAAGTAATAATATTGAATTTTACCGGTAAACACTTATCGGGTAAGTCTTTAGTAAACGGCCCCTACATTCGATCATTAAATCTAGGATGAGGATATATTCACCACTCCCTATTGGTAAAATGCACTCTCTCTTATCTTTTAGGTCAAATTTAACTAATAAATGTTTTTTTATTTATTTTTTTCCAAAAATATATGTCTTATAAATTTATGTTTTATAACGTTTTTCAACATTGTTTTCTAAATTTATGTTTTATAATAAATTTTTGCTAACTAACTATTTCTAAAATAATTCAAATAACTATAAAATTATTTTTAATTTTTATAATTGTATTGTTAACGTTTTAATTAATTAATAATTTATATACATATTTTTTTAAAATAAATATTCAAAGCTACAAAGATAAAATAATTTAATAAAAAAAGATCATCAAAATAAGTTAATTGATAAATCAACAAATAAAGTACAAAAAGTTTGAAAATATTACAACTCAATCAAATGAAATAAATTATGTAGTACGATTACTATATAACAGTTGTTCGTACTTATTTATTCGGGTAATGTACAGAGTATTCCATACGGTTAAGCAATCATATTTGAAAGGAAACCAAAGATATTTTAACGTAATCATTACGGTTAACGTACCCAATTGTAAAAGTAAATTACGTTTTTAGTCCCGATGATTTGTTAAAAATTTCTATTCTCATCCTTATGGTTTTGAAAACTATGATTTTCATCCCTCTATTTTATAATTCATTATTTTTTTCGTCCTTATAATTTAAATTTTTTTTTTCGTCTCAATGATTTACAATTCATTTCTATTTTGGACTCGGGAATGAAAATAGAAACAAATTGTAAACTATAACAACGAAAATCGAAATTTCAAAACCATAGAAATGAAATCTGCAATTTTAACAAACCACATAAACGGAAATCGTAATTTACTGATTATTTTAATTTTTAAATTGTAAAAAAAAAAATAACCATCACTTTATTTTTCTTTTACCGTTTACAAGTTAAGATTTTAATACATTTTTCTTATTTTAATATAATAAAAATTAAGAAAATATTAAAACATCTCTTATTTAATTGGATTTAACAGAGAAAATTAATGACTGTTAGATAAATGGACCAATTTTTAAGAATTGACAAATATGAGAGACCAATCCAATTTTTTAAAATTTAGGGATGATATCCGTTAAAAATTACAAACATTAAGGACCAAAAATAAAACATTACACTATTTAAATATATTAAAATTTTATAATTTAAAATTTGTGATAAAAATTTAATTCATTGATGATATTGATTCTTGTGCCAGCTTAGAAGTTAGAACATCAATAAAAGTTTTAAAAGCATCTAATATTTTAAAGATTTAAAAAAAATTATTTTCTAATGAATAATATAATTTTTAATATATTAATTAGTTTTTTTATATATATTTTATTATTATTAATGATTTATAATATGGTCTCACATTTTTATTTATTGATTTATTTAAAGAATAATTGAAAACATCGTCTTGCAAATGGATCTTTTTCTCTGTGAATAACAAGAGCATGCAAATAGATTATTCTCAGCGGTCATTAGGGGTGCTCACGGGTTGGGTTGATCGGATTGAAGACATTTGAACAACCCAACCCAATGCTTGCGGTTTGAAAAATCTTAACTCAACCCAAACCAAACCAAACTGCAACTCAACTCGTACAGGTTGGTCGGGTTGATATTTTGATACATTAAAATATTCTTCTAACCTTGAATATGTTATTTCTTTACTCATAATTTCTTTTTCATCATCAACCATTTGATACAACTTATACATACTTCTTACGTATATCACATTCAGTTAATTTTCTCAATTTACATATATATGTTCACAATCACTGAACATATATACGAATGAGTTATATAGATATGTAAATAGATTGAAGATATGTGTATATGAAGAGCATACATGATAATGTAATTGTCTAATGCACATATTAATAGAAATTCAACAATCATATTAAATCCATGGAATAAAAGAATATCAGGCTCATCGAGTTGGGTTGGGTTGGGTTCAAATAGTAGTAACCCAATATCAATCTAATACCTACGATTTGACAATTTTACAACCCGATTAGACATCGGGTTGCTTCGATAGTGTTTGGTACGCAGACTGGATGGGACAGGACGGGACGGGACAGGACGGGACGGGACAAGACTAATTGTCTGTCCTATGTTTGGTACGACTAGGACAGGACATGACATGACATGACAAAACTATTAAAATGACCATATTACCCCTAAATGTTGTTCAATGTTATTTTATGTCATATAATGATTGTAAAATGACAACAAATCAACCAAAATATTGTCATATTAACTTTAGTCCCATGTTGTTCCACCTTTTTTGGTGGAACAAGAAATATCAAAATTTGTCCCATTAAAATTAAAAATAGTCTCACCTTGTCCCATGATTTTTTTGTCCATGACATGCCAAACATGAGACTATTTTTTTTGTCATGTCCTGTCTCATGTAGTCTGCATGCCAAACGCACCCTTCGGGTTGAGTAGGGTTGATCGGGTTTTTTAGCATCCCTAGCGGTCATAGAGATTTATATCAGGGTACAGACATGTTATTTCCGTTGTGGATACTCTAATAATTAACTATTTTATAAAACGGGAAAACAAGAAGGATTGACTTTCAGTCAAACTTACCTTAGTATAATCACTTGTCGGGGTGGACCTACTACGGGGTAAGGGATGCATGGGCTCCCGTTCAATCGTCTCATTGCAACGCAAAAAAGATAAGGGTCTTAAACGTACACCCACTTAATTTTGAAGGGTGCTCTTAAATATTTTAAAAACCAAACTTATAAACTAAATCTAAAGTTTGAAATTCTTGTTCTAGAAAAAACCCAAAATTTCACCTTTTAAATTTCGGTTTCAACTGTTTTTGTGAAAAACAATGAAAGATAAAAACAAGGAGAATGGTCGAACGATATATCATCGCATATGTAATTAGTATATATGATTTGCATGAAATTGTTTGTACGAGTGCGGTGTCACCATTCGGGACGTCAGTGATCGTTAGCAGAATGATGTGTGCTGCTAGGATTAGCACAGTAAAAACTAGATAGCACCCGTTCAGACCAAACGAGGTAGAAGGTGAACCATATGTCCGTCCATACCATATAAAAGAAATGAGATCTCGATGTCTATTTTTAAAGTTCTTTTTATTTAAATCGCGACCACGTGTTCAATACATGTTTTATACCTGACTAGCTCCATATATCTCATGCAAGGAGCCTATGGAGTATTAGGGGCCGTTTACCAAACACTTACTCAGGTAAGTGCTTACCAAGTCATGTTACCTCACCGAATGAACATGGTAAGGACCAAAAATCTTATCCAGTAAGAGCGAAACAAAGACCATGAATCTTATCCGGTAAGTGAGGGTGAAAACTCTTACCACAGTAAGCGCTTACCGGGTAAACTGTTGCATACGATGTCTTTTTGGTAGACTAAAATCTTACCCGGTACGTAAATAATAATGTTAAATTTTACATGTAAGCACTTACCGGGTAAATGTTTGGTAAACGACTCCTTAGTTTGATACGAGACGAATTGGGATGATAGACGTTTGGAGTTTATCATGTTTAAATTGAATCTGGAGATCTGTATCTTGAGTAAGACGTAACACCTTCGAGTGAAAATAAGTGTTTTACATAAACCTAACCACATTGTAACCCGCCCACTCGTTCTCATAATTCGTATTATTTTTCAAATATTTTATGAAAACAATGGTTGCTAGCGAAAAAAGAAATTAGAAACAAATACAATAGTAAAAAAAAACTCAAACTACTATTCGTTTGGTACATGGTCCACTTTTACTAGCCTGTTAAAAGCGGGCTTTTGACTATCGGGCCGACGAATCAAGAATGGGCAACATTGCCGTTCTGGTTCTTGGATGTGTCGATTACCGCCAAACCCATCTCTGTTTTCTCTTTTCTCGCTGCTAACATTCGTTTTGTGGATTTATAGAATGTTGCGTATAATACCAATTGTAGAATACCAAGAAGTGCTCCGATCCCGTTTGGTACCTGGTCAACATTCATTAGAATGATCTTTCAGGTGTAAATACTATTTTTTTTATCATATAGACGACAGTTTGAATCAGTTTATCCAAGAAATTAGCTCATTTAAGTTGTAACTGATAGCTAGCGTGTCAAGTGAGTGAAAAGAAAGTGTGGTGCCTAAACCCTAACCACAAGGGTGGTGCCTGATTGGTTTGAGCTTGACTCCAAAGGTCAAAAGTACCAAAGAGGTCCCACGGAGGTTCAAATGCGGTGACTCCGGGCTATCTGCAAAGCAGGTGGTTGCCCTGGGATTAGTCGGCTCGCATAGCGGATTGGATATCCAGGTTAATAAAAAAATGTAGCTAAAATGATAAACTTGTCAATCGGATCAATTTTGTAAAAAAAATTACAAGGATTCTTACAACCTCCTGAATTATTTATAAAACAATCAAATTATTATTTTAATGAAAAATTTATGATATTTAATACATTAATTATTTATTAAGTAGAAAATGGACAAAAAAAATTGTCAACCAAAGGGTCTTTAGCCTAGCAGTATCGTAGTCTCTGTCTCCTAAGATGTCAGGGGTTCAAACCTCACCAAAGATGAGAAAGATGTGTTAGTTTCTTTGTTGCATTTGCCGTATATAAATATTATATACTTAAAAAAACCGCATATGGAAGAGAAGATACTTACTGCGATGAACGGATCAAAAGGAACAAGGGCATACAAGAACCAGCAGAGACCGTTGGAGAAGCAAAACAACGAGAGGAGAAAAGGCATATACTCGACACTTTTGGTCGTGATCACCAGTTTCTGGATTATATTCATCAAAACACCAATTAACTCATGAAAAACGTTACATGATTTAAATAAATTATTTCAACACGTAGATGAAACGATGTGGCTTTACATGATTAATGGACATGAAAGGGGCAAAGAATCTGGGGACTGTAAATTTTATTCATTCCTAAGGGTCGTTTACCCAAATGCTTATCCGGTAAGCGCTTACCAATATGAGTCAACATAATAATTTATTTTGATGCGTAAGATTTTAATACATCAAAACATATCAAATGCAACAATTTACAGGATAAGACTCTCCATCTTTCTCATCGCTCTTACCCGGTAAGATTTTTGGCCATTCTCATGTTCATCCGATGAGGAAATTTATGCGTTAAGCACTTACCAAGTAAGTGTTTAGTAAACGTCCCCTAAGAGGAGGCAAAACTCTACCAGGATTGATGAAATCGAAGAACTTCCTCTTAGTACTATTTAAAGTAAAAAACAAAAGCGTATTTCTTAACATATTTGTTTTATAATAAGACCTATTACTAATAGAATTTACTTATATCAGTATAAGTGACATACCATAACAGATAAAGGTGCAGCATACATAAGGATATTGGCCGCAACGCTTATGCTCCCAACAATTGTTGATCGTTGTTGTGGCGTATGCACAACGATTAGCATCAAAATGACGAGTACGCCGAAAAACAGAATCTCGAGTAACATTATTAATGCGACCTTAAGCCTCTTCCTCTTATCGGAGCACATGAGAAAAATGAGCAGGTAGACGAGCTCGATGGCGACCCCAGCTCCGTTGGTTGTGACCACGAGCAGGCTGTGTGGGTGCACAAATGGCATCCCGTACAACACCCACAAACCACAATTGAAAAACGAAGCCAGATACGGCACCGGTGAATACTGTTCTACGCTTCTTTTCTTCCATATGACGAGAAATGTTGGCCTAAAAATTAAATAACAAATTATAAACCAAATTAATATTCATTTTTTTTTATAAAATTTTAACTTACAAACATTAAATTTGTAAAAAAAAAACCTAAATAAATCCTAATACTTAGAGTTAATAAAAGTCTTACACTGTGGACAAGAATAATGTGACTGCAGTGATATTTCCTGTAAGATGAAAATTTTGTTAATATAATAAATAAAAAACTATTTTTTCAAAAAAAAAAAATTAAAAAATGTTATAATTTATTAAACAAGGGGAAGTTCAAACAATAAAAACTAAGGGGCTGTTTAGTAATTGCTGAATGGTATTGATGTAAAATGATTAAAAGGCTCTTACGATATAGTGTAAAATAAAAATATAACTATTTGGTAAATGTTCAGAATGAAATTAGGGCGCTCATGGATTAAGGGAGACTCAAGATACAAAATCATTCAGAATGTTTTGTAACCATTAAGAGGTATATATTTTATGTCAAACAAGATTCATTTATTAGCTATTCAGAGATTACCTCTTAATAGAACTATTAAGAGGTAAACAAACAGCCCCTAAATATCATTAGAAAGTAAAAATAGAATGTTCATATATGAATAATTGAAAAAATCTATTTGAAAATACATATGTGAAATCATATAAATAAAAGATTGTAAAATTGACCGAAATAACCAATTTCCCCATAGAAATTCATTTTTTTAGCCACCTTTTCAATCGAATTTCAGATTAAAAAAAGGAAGATAAAATTTTTACACAAATTTGTTTACGGATTCTCATTCGTGTAAAGAATTTCCTTTTTTTTAATCCAAAAATAGTTTTACGTAAATGCATAAAATATTAGGCAAATTGCAAAAAAAAGTAACGTACTTTAACTTGATTTCTATTTTAGGTAATATACTTTTAAAATTTTACTTTTGCTATATAAGATGTAAAGTTTTAAACATTTAAATACCGAAATAACCGGTTGAAGCATTAACCAATTACCATATTGATGTGGCGAGTGATATGGTATCAACTCAGTATTATTTATTATTCAACCCAACTTCATCCATCATTCGTCACATCAGCATGGTAACCAGTTAATGCTTCAATTAGTTACCAAGATACTTAAATGTTTAAAATTTTACATCTTAGGTACTAAAATGGAAGTTCCAAAAAGTACATTACTAAAAATAGAAATCAAGTTAAAGTACGTTACTTTTTTTATGCAATTTATCTTAAAATATTTGTATAAACTCTGACTAAAATAAGAATCTGATTCCATAAGTGGTTAAAAAGTAAATTTAATTAAAGGGATTGGCCATTCGATGAATTTACCTTCTTATATTATCATAATACTAATTCTTTTTTAAAATGATATTGATCGAAAAAACGTACCTGCGACACCAAGTATTGTACGGATAGCTTCAGTGGAGACCATTGCTGCGAGGAGGGATCTGGTGGTTGCAACTTTGCATGCTTATGGTGATTCAAAACCCCAATTTATAAGTGAGGTTCTTTAATAAAAGACGAAAATACCCTTATGAGTTTTTTTTTGTAAAAAGACATAATTACCCCGTGTATAACGAAAAACATCAATTATTCGGAACATGTTCTGGTATCAATCTTTGTATATATATATTCTTTGAACTATAAAAGGTATTGTGATAAAAGAAGTACATTTAGCATGTTTTTTAGGTTATCAATGTTTCTATTCAGAATTTATTGGGTTAAAGAGGTCAGATATCATAGTTTACAGACTTAAAGAAAATACTGGATTAAAAGATGGATATATATATATATATTTAAATTAAGGGTCGTTTACTAAACATTTACTGAGTAAGTGTTTATCGGATGTCACTTATCATCCGGATGAGTATGACAAAGACCAAGAATCTCACCCGGTAAGAGATATAACAAAGACCATAAATCTTACCCAGTAAGTGAGAGAGAAGACTCATACCCGATAAATGCTTACAAGGTAAAACACGTTTACCAAAAATTCATTTTGATGCCCAGGAATGTTACTCGATAAGGTAAGTGAATATGATGCTCTTGCAGGTAAGCGCAAACCCATTAAGCCTTTGGTAAACAACCCTAAGAGTAAAATTATCTTTTTGTTGATTAAAAATTGTAATAATTACAGATTCTTAAAACTGTATGTCATTTTTACTGTAAACATTTATTTTGGGACGAAAAAAATACATTTTAACTTGAAATTAATTAAAATATATTTTACTTAAAATAAAAAATTATCCATCAATTAGACCTTTGATCTTTCTTGTGAATCGGTGGCCAACTCTTCTACGGTTTCAATTGCATGATTTACAATTGACCAAAAAAAGGGTCCATAATTCTTTCGTGGGAACCAAACTTTTAATCATTTTTTTAAATATTTTTTTTTCTAAAATTAATTACTGTAATTTGTTAATATATAGAAAATACTAAAATTATCTATATTATATTATAAAACATTTGACAAAAAACTCTTAAAAACCATATTTTATGCGTGAAGTATTGTATATTGATGCATATTACTTAAAATTCAAGATTACAATTAAATTATGCATATGTACAACTTATTAAAGCTCCATTTTTAAATTCGTGTAACTAGCTGCAGATAAACATAATCAAATAGAGGATAAACATATCATTTTAATATATAAAAATTCTAAAATATAATTAGAATAATTATCGAGTTCTAACAAAATAATTAATTATTATGTTTATAAGAAAATTATATTAATAAACCAAATATAAATTATTATTTTTTATTGAACCTAAATTAAATTATAATAAAAAATTGAATTAAAAAATTACACAAGAATATGAATTTTAAATAGTTAAATTTGATATTAATATCGATATATTTTTGTCAAATTGTAATGATATTTTCAAATTTATATTTTATTCAAAAATAAAAACATCATTGCTCTTTCAATAACATCGACTGAGATAAAGAATAAAATAAAATATTAAAATCAAGATGTATCTCGTTGCATTGCACGAGTACCCTTCTAGTAATAAAATATAAGGGATCTGAATAATGGTATTTATGGTTTGATTAAAAAAAATAGTAATTCGGTAATTATAAACTTTAACTAATAATTAAATTAAATATTTTATTATTTTGCTACCATATTTTAATTATCAATAAAATAAAATAAGTGTAATATTTCGTTTTGATCTACATATGGTGAATAATAATTAAAAAAATAATTGATGTAGTTAATAATATTTATAACTTATTAGTGATTATTAATATCTATTGTATAATTAAATTAATTAATAATGCATGATTAAAATTAATTAATAATTTTTAATTACTATAAATTAATATTTATTTGTAATTAATAATAATAATCAGGGTTATAATCGGAAAAAGTGTCAAAAAACTCCGCATAAGCTACTTCAAGTAGCTTATCAATAAGCCAGCTTATAAGCTAGTTTATCTGTATTCAAACGATTACTCAAAAAATAGACTAGTTTATGTTTGTCAAATAACGCCTAAATATAAATTTAGTTTTTTTTTTAATTTAAAAAGTATAACCATAAAATATTGTTGTTAAATATCGAAAAATAGCTTAATTCGGCTCTAACCAGTAATCATTTTTTAAATAAGATCCCATTCGACCTAGGAATAAAAGAAATTAAACCTAAAATAACCATTATTTTAATTAAGTTATATTATTTAATTTATTGAAATTGTTTTATCATTTTTTTTTCAAAATAATTAGCTTTGATTATAACTTTAATGAAAATAAAAATTATCGATTTTAACCTTATACAATAAATTATAAATATATATAAAGAAAATGGTTCAAATAAGAACAATAATCAAATAAAAGTACACGAAGGTGTATAAGCGAAATGGGTTGTGACCTGAGTCGTGTGAATTACATGTGATTTTACACATGTTGTTTAATATAAAGTCATGTGATTCAATCGCAGAGGCGACTGGATCAATAATAGTGGAGGGGTCTAAAAGAATTTTATACTTAAAATCTTAATGAACTGAAGATGTTTCACGCTATCGGGAAAAAAACCCAGAGGCCTATGGCCATCCGTCCCTGTTCAATCGGGTTTTTTTATTTTTTTTATTTAATTATTGTTCTCGTATACATTTTAATAATATAGGTGGAGGTTCAAACGAGATTATCTACAAGAACATAAGAACACCCTTATCATAAGTGATAATACGCGTTAGGAGACCCTATAATGTGCAGACAACGTGTTCTACGACTTAGTCTGCGTCAATGATTGTCTATCACATGTGATGGTCTTGATGAATTATAGTATTATATCAACAACACTCTTATCACATGTGATAATACATGTGAGAGGGCTTGGTGGTGCAAGGGCGACTTGGCCCGCAACCAAGATCGCATCGAAAATCGTCCGCGTCTCTGATTTAATATCACATATGTATCATATGTGATGAAATAATAACATCATATGTAATTGTCTATAGTAAAAAAATGTTCTTGCGTTGATTTGTGATTTTATGGTTTTTGTTTGGTTTCTAAAAAAAATCATTCAAGTAATTATTGGAGTTAATTTGGTGGGGAATATTTGGAGAGATGGCAAAGCGTGGTTGGATCACTTTGATAATGCGTTTTTAACCTCCAATTTCTTTTAAAACTTTAAGCCTACATTTCACTAACTTTTTTTAGTAACTCCACACGTTTTTATTTCAATTCTAAGAGTTTATTATCTATACTATATTATAATGCATTTGACTAAAACTCTTAAAAACTCTTAAAACTCTTAAAAACTCTTAAAATTCGTTCATCCCTATCCGATTTCATCCCATATATGAATTCGTGTAACTAACTGCAGATAAACACAATCAAATACATGATAAACATTTTATTTTAAATATGAAAAATCTAAAATATAATTAGTATAATCATTAAATTCTAACAGAATACTTAATTATTATCTTTATAAAATTTATAATATTAAACA